CTGGGGAAGTACTGCTATGGGGTACGTGAAGAGAAAATTTCCTGAGATGCCTGAATAAATCAAATGGAGTCTCTTCCTTCCTTCCTTCCTTCCTTCCTTCCTTCCTTCCTTCCTTCCTTCCTTCCTTCCTTCCTTCCTTTCTTTCTTTCTTTCTTTCTTTCTTTCTTTCTTTCTTTCTTTCTTTCTTTCTTTCTGAGACAGAGTTTCTCTGTGAAACAGTCCTGGCTGTACTTGAATTCACTTTGTAGACCAGGCTGGCCTTGAACTCACGGAGATATGCCTGCCTCTGCCTCCCAAGTGCTGGGACTAACGGTCTGCGACACCACTCCCGGCTCCAAATGGAGTCTTTATTACCACTTGCAGGGCTGTCCCAAGCAGAGTATCAGGAAATAGTCTCAATGTCCAGTTTGAGTTTCTCAAGGCAAGGACCAAAGTTGTGTGATGCGTACAGAGAGGCAGCTCTGGAAATCTGCAGCAAGAGTTATTTACAGTTATTTGCAGAAAGATAGCAGTTCAGTGGCTAGGATCAATGCTGAGAGCTGCTGTGGAATTATACAGCAGGTGACATCTAGTGTTCAGCAGGTTGACCCAGCAGTCGAAAGACTCTCTGATGGAGAGTGCCACTTGGAAAATTCGTGGAGTTACTGAATGTAAATAACCGGTTCCTTCTGTCTGTAATTTCGCTTATGCGCCACTATATTCCTTCCCTAATAACAGCTGTATGTGTACCCAATAGAGCAAATATTTTCACGAGATAAACACACAGGCAGTGGGAACACGCCTAGGTGTCTTTCCGAGGTGTTTGTTGCTGATTCAGGGTCAGGCTTAAGGTAACTTCGGTAGACAGAAACCTCATGCAGCAAGGGCTTTCCGCACACACTCCCTACCACTCAAGATCCAGCCAATTGTTATTGTTAAGCTTTGAATTGCCATGGCATTTTCTGTCTGAGTGCCCTCACCAACTTAGAGAGCTATGTGCATGGCCAAGCGTTACTCCCTGACCTGAAAGAAATGGTGTGACTTACCTTGTGTTCTGAGCATGCATCAGGCCCTGAAAAGGAAATGTACAATTGTCCCGCAGTTTGGCTGTGAGAGAAGGCTGCTGTGTAAAGAGCTGGGGGGGAAGGGGAGAGAGAGAGAGAGAGAGAGAGAGAGAGAGAGAGAGAGAGAGAGAGAGCGCTGAGAGATGAGGAAGAAGCATGAGACAAAAGAGGGAATGAGAGTAAAAAATGCGTGAATGATGTAGAAGTGTGTATGTGTGCATGTGCGCACATGTGTGTGGGCGCGTGCGTGTGAAATGGATGTAAAAGAAAGGCGTGTAGCCCTGTGGAAATAGATGTAACTTTGTATAGAGATGTATGGCTGTGTAGGAGAGAGATGTATGTATGCAAACAGATATATCGCTGTATGTAAAGAGTGTAGCTGTGTGGAGATGCAGCAATAGAGAAAGTTACCATCAGAAAATATGTGTTTGCTTCACTTGCTGAGAAGGGACTATACACCATAAGTGGGGTAACGGCTTCTCACTTGCATCGTTCGGTTCAAAAGGAGTGAAGCCTAGGGCAGTGGTTCTCAACCCTCCTAATGCTGCAACCCTTTAATACAGTTCCTTGTGTGGTAGCGACTCCTATAAAATTATTTCATTATCTATTTCATAACTGTAGTTTCACTACTGTTATGAATCGTTATGTAAATAACTGATATGCGGGGTATCTGATATACAATCCCTGTGAATGGGTCACTGGATTCCCAAAGGGGTTATCACCCACAGGTTGAAAACCCACTAGTCTAGGGGTTTGCCAGAAGGGAAGAATGGCAGGAACTGCCCAGGTCTGGGTTGAATTGGGGGAGTCCAGGGAACAGGGGGCACAACTGAAATCACTACAGGTATGCAGGGGAGACACTGTAGGGGAAGAAGAGGAAAGGGTCCCCTAGGGCTGGGGCTCAGGATGGGGTCACCTTTCATTCAGAGACATAAAGTGGAAGTAGTTCCTCCTCTGCATCAGTGAATAGAATTTTTGGTGCTTTTTCCCCTTGGAGCTTAGGTACCAGAACCTTGAAACTAGTTTAGAAGGAACAGCTGCCTTACTTGGGGGTGGCCTGTGTTAGCAGGATAGGAAGTGAGGAGGGCAGAGCACTGTTGGTTGAAGGGGCGGCTGGAATGGTATTATTTGGAGGTTATGAGCTTTGTTAAGTAGGGGCACCTTACATCTGTTCACTGTCTCTGTACCTTGGAACACTGGAAGATCACAGGCAGTCTCATGCTGATCCCGAGAAACACAAAGGCGAGCACAATATATGTCTGGTTTTTTCAGGAACCCTTTAAAACGTTGCAAGAGTGGGCAAAAAGATTCAAGTATTAGCCTGTTTCTGAGCTACAAGAATTATACACTTTAGAAAGACCTCAAGAAGTGTTAGAATCTAATCTGGGGAGGAAGGACAATACGGCTTCTGGGCAGGCAGCTGGAAACGAGAGAAAGTATGCCAGTGGACGGGATAGGATGGAGTCTATTGTCCCCTTGAAGCAGCAGGACCCCTGCCAGAGTAGCTGCCAGTGCCCTGTGTGCCACATGGGGGGGGCAGGGAAAAGAAGTAGGAACAGCCAGGATATGCTTGGGTTGGCTGCCTGCTTCTTCTGATCTTTGTGAATTACCTCATAGGAAGTTTCTCCTATAGTCTAGGGTTGAAATGAAATTCTAAGCTTAGGCAGAACCAGCTCTGTCTGGAAAGCCACTGTCTCTCCCTAGGGACTTGCCCTGCCTCTTTTGCACATGGTCAGGGGTGGGGTGAGGACAGCATGGGAGGGGGACAAAAAGAAAGTGAGAGTCACTACAAGTCTACTTTCATACTAGGGAAGGTCTTAAGATATGCAGCGCCTACTGATGGTCACTCAGCATTTTCACCTCATGGAAGGGAACCTGGTCATCCTGGTTAAAGGCCATTTCCTGACAACTTACACCAGTATCTTACTATTTTAGATGACACAGGAACAAATATATTGAGAATTTATCTCTTTATTGAAAATACAAATTCTGAGGGGAAGGAATATGAGTATAAAAATTGGTTGTAGGTGATAGGAAAAAAAAAAGCATCTGCATTTGTCTCCTGGGCAAGGATGAAACTCGAGGGCTCCTCCACAATCTTCATGGAAAGTTGAAATTTTCTGCTCAGCAGGAGGAGTATTGCTGGGTCTTTATTTATGTCTTTTGATATTTCCTGTATTTTTCTCTCTTCCTCTTAAACCAATTCTATCACGTGAGAAACAAAAATTGAATTATTATATAAATAACCTAAAAGCATACCATGTTCTTGATCTGCCAGAAGACCTTTCTTCCTTACTGCTCTAATTTTGGCAGGGGTGAGGGTGTGCAACATGGTACAGTATCCCCAGAACTGCAGAATAGTCCCTGGACAAGTGTCCAGATGTGGCCTGTCCTTCACCGTCTCTACAGTAATCCACTCTGGAGGATGTGAGCAGCATTTTCAGGCAGATGCACCACTGTGCTTCAGACAGTCAGAATGCTGGGTGCCCTAATCTGTGTGGCTTCACCAGGATCTTCAAACAGCAGCAGGAGGACAGGGCATTTGGACTCTATGCTTCCCCCATTCCCATCAGTCTCTGTTTAATCAAGTTTACATCAGCATTATGAAGAGTGCAAGGATCACCCTGTGAACTATCCTCACACCCACGTTACCCCTGTAATGATAGAATCTATGCTTAGTTTTCAGTGTTTCAAATAGTGTGGGATTGTGGTGCCCCTAGCTACACTGATTTCAATCCTATATGTCATAATCCCAGGAAGACTCCACAGAGACATTCTGCTTAAAGGATACTAATGATAAAAGGAGTTGTACAAGCTATGTACATGTTTATATATCTTACTGATCTATATACAATGCAGCTATGTGTGCATAGAACATGGATGCATTTTTATAACTCAAATGCATATATTTATAATTTACACACAGGACAAGTGTGTATAATATGTATGGATTTAGGGAGTGAAAGTAGCTTAGTCCCCACTCCTTTTTTGTTCCTTTAGGAAGTTGTGTTGAAATGACTGAAATCTGAAATGAGCCATTTCTGTATAGTAAGGCTATGCCATTCCCCTTTCTATCTTTTCTACAAAGATCACAAACTTCTAAAGTCAAATTGACAGGGCTAGGGAGATGTTTCAGTAGGTCCAAGAAGAACACTTGCTGCTCTTGCAAGGGTCCTGTGCTTCATTCAGATTGGGAGGCTCACAACTGCCTGCAACTAGGGCACCAGATAATCTAATGTCCTCTTCTGGCCTCCAGCACCCACAGATATGTTATATACACAGACACATCCACACATCTAAAGAAAATAAAAATAAATTAGTCGTTAAGAAGGTAGTTTTGGGCTGGCCAGTTTGGGCACATGCCTTTAATCCTAGCACTCCAGAGGCAAAGGCAGGTGGATCTCTGTGAGTTCAGGGTCAACCTGGTCTGCAGAGCATGTTCTAGGACAGCCAGGGATACATAGAGAAACCCTGTCTCAGAGAAAAAACAAAATAGATAAGATAGACAGATAAATAAATAGGTTAATAAATAAATAAATATAAAGGTAGTTTTGATAGTTGGAGAAATGGTTTAGCAGTTAAAAGTGCTGCTTGATCTTCTAGAGAATGCAGGTTTGATTCCCAGCACCCATCTTTCACCCCAGTTCTAGGCTGACACCCTCTTCTGGCTCCTTTGGGCACCAGGCAATGCATGTGGTTCACAGGTATAAATGCAGGCAAAACAGCCATGAACAAACAATATGCCAACAATATTTTTTAAAATATTAATTTATTATCTATACAATATTCTGTCTGTGTCTATGCCTGCAGGCCAGAAGAGGGCACCAGACCCCATTACAGCTGGTTGTGAGCCACCATGTGGTTGCTGGGAATTGAACTCAGGACCTTTGGTAGAGCAGGCAATGCTCTTAATCTCTGAGCCATCTCTCCAGCCCCACCAACAATATTTTTAAAAGGTCATTTTGGTAACAGTGTGAAGTCAACAACAAAACAACAAAATTTCATGGACAGAACAAAGCCGCCCTAGACCAGAAGCAAGTTCTAGAATGACAGTTCTGCCAAGGTGCTTCCCTTTCCTCACCTGCACTTTGGTTTCACTCACACCGATGGATGCCGCCAGTTGTTTTCTGGGGGAAAAATGGCAGATGATCAGTATTTGACACTATGGATAGAATAAAAATATGTACAGGACATTTTATATTAGTTTTAAAATGTTTCTCCTATCATTCCACTTTTTGTGACATTTACCTTGGAAATTTTGGGTTTAAAAATATCCTATCAGTAATTTTATTTTACCAAACCACCATTAACAGGCATGGAAAGCCAAGCATGTCCCAATGAAATAACTTGAAAAACACTAATATAGACAGCAAAAAACTAATAATGGGGGGGGACTCCTAATACTTGGTGTGGTAGTGAAGGAAACTTTTAGTAGTTTTTGCTTTTTTTTTTTTTTTTTAAAAAAAACAAATTAACACAGGAAAAACTCATGTGAGACTCTTTGTCAGGACAGAAGGACAAACTCAAAAGACAGAGACCCACATTGGAGCGCTGGACTGAACTCCCAAGGTCCAAATGAGAAGCAGAAGGAGGGAGAACATGAGCAAGGAAGTCAAGACCGCGTGGGGTGCACACACCCCCTGAGACGGTGGGGCTGATCTAATTAATGGGAGATCACCAAGGCCAGCTGGACTGGGACTGAACAAGAATGTGATCAAACCGGACTCTCTGAACGTGGCTGACAATGAGGGCTGCTGAGAAGCCAAGGACAATGGCACTGGGTTTTGATCTTACTTCATGTACTGGCTTTGTGGGAGCCTAGTCTGTTTGGAT